GGGCAACAACTTCATTCAGATCTGCAAGTACCTAAATCCACAACTGAAAGTGGCCGGGAGCATAAGTAGTTTACAACAACGGAAGATTATTAAATCACTTCTCACCTCACCACCAAACCCAAACAATAATCAAATTTTATTGTTTTAGTAAGGATAAGAAGCAAATTCTCAGATGAGGGTACACAAAATAGTCATATGCAACGCACTACTACTGAAAAGTGTGAACTTGCATGTTTCTAAAAGGTTGGTCAACACACAAGGAGACTGTACAACGTACCTCTAGCCCCTTGAATACTGTGACCATAAGAAGATATGTGGCAGAGATGCTTATTACAGCACAAATTATAATTAGCATAAACCAGTACCTATTTAAAATTTCCAATTATGGGGAACTGATATTTTTCAAAAATTTGTTGATGTAGGATGGTACTCCTTTCATAATGTTACAAAACAAGGAACAAAATCCTTTACATTCTATTACAACTTTGGATGATATATTCATACATGTGTATTATGCATGTACATAAACTTCAAAATGTTTGAAATTATTTCTGACTAGTAATTTGATTTTTTCTTGGGAACTCTATGTATTTTCTTAATTTTCTAAAATTGGGATGCACTGCTTTAAAAATCATTTTAAAAAATAAACTGCAGATGGATACCCTTCAGATATGCTCAGAGATCGAGTTCACATAGCATGATAGGCTGGAGTCCAGGATTTAACAATTTTTCTAAGATATGATGCTAGAACAGAAAAAATGGACACAGTCTGAGATTCTTTTTAAATTGTCACTCAAAAATCCCTATCTGAACTAGAGAAGACTATTTGAGGAATAGTCAAATATTTCATGTCATACAGAGTAGGGGGTGGCCCTGGAGGCCTTGACAGACTTTCTTGTAGTTCTTTGTTAAATCTCATTCTAGATCCCAAGTGTAGAAGAATACTTTAGAAGTTATGGCACATAAATCAGCCTTAAAAAAAAAAACAAACACTGGGTTTTTGTTCATATCTTTAAAGTAGCTAGTCTAATAAAAGAAGAAGAGTGTGTGGAGACAAATAAGTAGTTAAAATGGAGTAAAAGGGGCTGGGGCTCAGCGGTAGCACACTTGCCCTGCATGTGTGAGGCACTGGGTTCGATTCTCAGCACCACAAATAAATAAATAAGATAAAGATCTATCAACAACTAAGGGGAAATGTTTTTTTAAAAAAATGCAGTAAAAGATGAAATCCCAATAAGCTACTAGTTATTAACATTTGGGGAGCAGGTACTGGGGTCTGAATTCAGAGTCTCACACATGCCTGGCAAGTGTTCTAACACTGAGCTCCATCCTGGCCCCTTCTAATTGGGTCAGAGTCTTGATAAGTTATCTTGGAAGGCCTTCAACTTGGGATCCTCCTGCCTCAGCTTCCAGACTAGCTGAGACTCACAGCCATGCACCACTGTTCCCAGCTATATAGGTAGTAAATTTTAAATGATAAGTAATAGTTTTCCTTCTTTTCTCTATTATAATTTTATTTTGGTGCTGGGGATTGAACCTATAGCATCTTGTATGCTAAGTACATACTCTACCAACAGTACGTACTCTAAGCTCCTAATGTATTATGAATTTAATAAAAATAACAGTATATACTCACATACCTTCTGATATTCTATGTCACATTAATTTTTTTGTGGTACTAGGTATTTAATCTCGGGGTGCGTTTAACTACTGAGCTACATCCCAGACCATTTTATATTTTAAGACAGGATCTTGCTAAGTTGCTTAGAGCCTCACTAAATTGCTGGGGCTGGCTTTTAACTTGCAATCCTCCTGCCTCAGCCTCCTGAGCCAATGGGACTATAGGTGTGAGCCACCACCCCCAGCTTCTTTTTTCCCCCCCTTTCTTTTTGGTATCAGGAATTGGTATCATTCTTAACCACCGAGCCAACCCCACATTAATTTTACTAAATGAAAGAAAGAACAAATTTTGATTCTAAGCTGATATATTCTCATGTTGCTTTTTGCTGGTGCTAGGGACGGAATCCAGAGAATCACTGAGCTGTATCTCCAGCCCAAATATTATTTTTTTATCACATCCTTGAAATTACTGAATCATTGAATATACAAATATATTAACTTTCCAATTAAACCTAACTAGAACTGATTAATCATCTTCATATCCTGTTTTTGACTGTTAATTTCCATCTTATTTATAACTATATTTATTTCATAACTTTTATTTCATAAGTTTTCAAAACTGCAATTAGAGACTTGAAAGGGAATGGAATATTAGTTAGTATTCTATGCTAACTTCTTTGTTGTCTTATACAAATAATTTAAATGATTTTTGGGGCTGGGGTACCTAGTGTGGTTCTCTTTCTAGCACCCTTCAATAAATTCATAAACAAATAATCCTGAAGAAAAACAGAAAAATGAATAGTCCATTCTTGTGTGTTTCCTTAGCTATTTCCCCTATCCTCAAATATGACGGAATCAGCCACATTTCACAAACTGTATTTACGGCATGGGCAAACCTGTGCAGGGAAAGACAGATGAATATTTAAGTAGGAGCGAGTTTCTCAGTTCAGTTGGTCACTTCACTTCTCCCTTGCCTAGATAAAACCCATGGCAACCACCAATTTTCTGAGAAGGTACAAACTCCATCTGCTACCCACAGCACTTGAATGCCAGAGCTGTAGGACCCCACAGGTTCCTATGCAGCACAAACCTCCAAGTGAAAAAGCTCAGTAAATCATGAATTCAGTAGTTAAAACCTCTTTTTGATCCTGACAGGTAAAATTTTCACAGAATTCTCCTTTTTGTGGTACTGGAATTCAGCTTTGTAAAGGTATAATTTTTGCTGTCAAGTTTATACCATATTCCAGCAAAAAAATAATGAAACAGAATTGCTATATTTATTCATGATAGCAAACATATATGATATACAACAAAAATTGTCTTGATCTACTCCTAAAATACTCTATTGCTATAATTATCAATCATACAACAGTGGTATATAATCTTTCTAAGAAACCACAGGAAAGTAACACTTAAGCATCACCACCAGAATCTCAGACTCTATTTTTATGTAGTTAGCCTAAGCAAGCTGTCAGAGTGCCAATTCTTCTATACAAAACATCATCTTGGAGAGTTTCAGGCCATGCCACAGTATGACATCTTATGATAGGGTATTAAAATAAATCAACTAGGTCTAAAAAATAAACTGTCTCAAAACCAAAATTAGAACAGGATATAGATATTTCTGTACCACACAACATAGATACTTTCTTTAAACACTTTTACATAAATATAAACCAGCACAGATACTTTCTTTAAACATTGTTACATAAATACAAACCAGCTTTAATAACATGTGACAAAAAGAGAAGGAGCAGACATTTAAAAATCTTGCCATATTTACCAACAAATCATGACTTTCAGGGAGTAATTTCTTAGATGAATAATTTAAAATATTAAAATTTAACACCAAATTATACCTATAATGAAATTTTTACTCTTAGAACCATAATGTTAATATGACTGAGAGAAAACCTATGATTTGCTATACATCCCCTAACAGTACTTTAAAAAGACTAAGGTTTTCACTACCTCCATTCCCATTAGTTTTTTTTTCCTGATTAACATTAAATAATGAACAAGAATGTGGCATAACTCCTGCTGCAACTGCATTCCATTAAGACTCCAATTTCATAATGAATTCCTGACCTATCATTTTATTCCAGTTAACATGTCTTAAGCACAGAGCTGGGATGGAGGCCAGTGGTGGAGCACATGCCTTGCATGTGGGAGACCCTGGGTTTGATTCTTAACACCAAAAAAAAAAAAAAAAAAAAAGAGTCTAGGCTTAAATAGCTTGAAGATCTAAGGTATACAAAGAATGGACATGATAGAGGGGGAAAAAAAAAGAAGAAACTTAAAGTCTCTTAAATCTGTCTTCGACTTTGATGTACCTTGTCCTAATTTGTAATCTCAAAAACAGAGTAACCATGATGGACTAAAAACTTAGTAACAACATGCACTTCTTTCATTTTCTCCACTTAACAACAAGTAGGCTTCTACCTGTCAGGGTAAAGTACATACAACAAGTCATAACATATGCCCCCTTAAAGGCCTAAGAACTATTATTTCTAATATTTTTAATAAGTAGTAGCTATTAGAAATTCTTCCTCAGTTACTCAATGGATAGAATAATATATTGCTCAACAACAACAAAAATTTATAATTATTGTTTAAAGTATAATTAGAGCAAATTCCTTAACTTTAATATCCTTGCATATGTAAATATGAAAATGCCAAATACATATATCATTAAAACCATGTCCTCTGACTAGAGGTGATAAAGAATACACTTAGGTTTTTTAAAATTATGAAAAAATGTATATTTTTTAACCCATATGAAGCATTATGACATTTTAAAAACCCACTCTGATAATCAGCCATTTTAGATGGACCCATAGAGTAGCATGGAATGAAGGTTAACTTTTCTGTCACTGGATATAGCTCACATATTTAACTATATTAACTTCTTGGAAAATTAACATACCAGCAGCAGGGGATGCTCAATTAGTTTTATGGAGCTGCACCAGAAAAAATGGACTCATTATTCTAATAGCTGTGCATTATTTTCCTGGCATTTTATATTTAACTTTTAATATAATGCTGCTTCATAAAAATGCTTGTTTGGTTAATTTCACCTGATGGATGAGAAGATACATGTTATAAATGCAAAAGTTCCAAATTCCATGCAACATTTTTTTACTTGTTTGAGATATTAATTCAGTAACTATTACTTACTAGTAATATATAGAATAGAAACTAATGATTTTCTCATTAAAATATACTTCTTTTACGTTCAAATCAGGTTGAAATTTAATTTCTTCTTTTTAATAATATATTATCTGTATGCCATGCAAATTACAGCAATGTACCCAAGTATGGAGGTAACACCTTTAAAAGAAAAGCAGCTAAGGAAAAATATGAAATAAAGTTCCACCTACAGGGATTCCTCTGACTATTTTCGGTGAGTCCCGGAGATGACATGGATGTGAGAACTGAGCAAGTAAACAGAAGCAATGCTGGTCAGGTGAAACCTCCAATTACCAGGCAGCTTCCCTCATCTGCATCTTCAGGGATGTAGAACAAAGGAAGTGAGGCTGGAGCAGAAGCAGGTTTTTCCAAAGAAATTGTAGTTTTTTGCTGATTGCTTAAGCAGACATACATCAGAATCTACTGTGTCTATAAAAGCAAAATGCAAGCTCTCAGGGGTTCTGGTGTACAAAGATATATGCACCGATCTAGGACCATACCAAATGCTGCTCAAAATTGCAGGGGGAGGATGCTGAGAATACACTAAATCCTCCCAAATCTGTCATCTAGGCACAAAGATGTGTTAGTAACCCACCACAAGACAGAAGAAATCTTGCTCTCTGAAAGTAATAACATAAAAATTAAGAATATGGTTTATTTTATGATACAAAAGCATCTCCAAGTTTCCCCCACCTCATATTTAGTGTAGCTTTGGCCTAAAGGTTCAAATTCAGCAACACTAACCAATGGCTTGGAATGAGCTATGTATTTTTAATAAGTATCTTAAATCATTACAATTCCAATAATTAAACACTTATCAAGTCTTTTCTTATTTTAAAAACAATGCGCTATAAATCCCACCCCCTCTGGTTCCTTCTGAATCACAACTCCATCAATCAGCACCTCTCACTTTATCTTTCACCTCTCCCTCTACAGTCTCTTCTCCCTTTTCATACAAAATACACTGGAGCACCCCACCCCCCACTCTAGCCCCACCCCCTCCCACAAATTCCTCCATTCAGCATATGCAACCAGAGAATGAGAAGTTATACTCCATTTATGTATGATGTGTCAAAATGCATTCTACTGTCATGTGCAACTAATTAGAATAGATGATGATGATGATGATGATGATGATGATGATGATTTATGGCTGGGGGTTGAACCCAGGGCCCTGTGCATGTGAGGCAAGCACTCTACCAACTGAGCTATATCCCTAGCCCTAATTTTTTTTTTTAAATTTAAAACAACTTGTCAATGTGATCCCAAATTTACAAGAAAATGCAAAGGACCTAAAATAATCAAAATGGTTTTGAAAAATAACAGAGTTGGAGGACTTTGACTTCCTAATTTCCAAAACTTATTACAATGCTACAGAAATGAAGGTAATGTGGTATTGGCAGTAAGGAGCAAAATGGAGAACCCAGAAACAAACTCTCATATTTATGTTCATTGGTTTTTCTATAAAGGTGCCAAACAATTCAATGAGGCAAAAGGTAGTCTACTAAACATGTACAATCTGCATTAAATGATCATCCAAACAAGTGAGACTCTTTTTTTTAATCTTTTAAAAAATGGTTCTAAAACAGCTGTGTGTCAATACGTAAACAAATGAACTTAGAGTCTCACCTCACACAAACACAAAAATTAAGAATGGATAATTGACTGACAATAAGTAGAGCTGTTAGGATTAAGAAGAAACTACAACCCTCATACACATTGTGCACTGATGGGAATACAAATGGTACACTCTGGAAAAGAGCTTCACCATTTCTTAAGCTAAATAATCATACAGTCCAGAAATTCTCATCCATACACTCAGAAGAAATGAAAATACAAATCTACACAAATCTTGCACAGAAATATGTATAGCAGCATTAGTCACAAAAGCCTAACCCTGGAAATAACCCAAATGTCCATCAACTGGTACAGGGATAAACAAAATGTGGTATAGTCATTTGATGAAATATTAGTTCATCAATAAAAAGAAACAATCTACCAAATCGGCATCTTTCTTCCCATTCTACCATGGCCTTCATTAAAATCTTTTAAATAGCTTTCAACTAATCTTTATCTACCTATCTATCTACTTATTTATTTATGAATGAGACTGGTTCTTGCTTGTCACTCAGGATGGTCATGGGTAGGTTTAAGTGATGCTTCTGCCTCAGTTTCTGAGCATTGGGATTTCTGAGATAACAGGTATACACAACCATGTCTGGCTAGAACTTCTATTTCTTTCTTGTTTTAAAGGTAATCCTTCTCCTTTTTTTTATTGAATAGCACAGAAATCAAAACATAAGCATAGAACATAGTATATACTGTATAGACTCACTTGAAATTATTATGGATTTCCTTTTGACGTTTCACAGAATCATATTCTACTTGGGAAGCCATAATCCTGAGATCCGGAAACACTATGAAATTTTAACTAAATAGATTGCATTTTATGTTCAGTATTAATAAATGCCTAATTACTTAAAATGCTTTTAAAGCATCATTTGTGCAACTATATAATATTTGATCCAATTCAGTCATCCCTGAGTATCCATTATAAACTTCTCCCTAGTTTGTTTTCTAGTTTTCCCTTGGCATGGTGGTAGAGTCTAACCTAGAACCTCGTGTATGCCAAGCAAGCAATGTACCAATAGCCTGCAGTCCTAGCCCTGGTTTTTACCTTTTATACATTTAATTAATTAATTTAGCAACAACCAGGAGTTTATTAGAAAAGTGAGGATAAGGTACAGTATAGCACTGCAGGGACCCACACCAAGGAAACGAGTGTGGCTCTTCTGAGTCCGGGGTTTTAAGAGTTTTGGGTTCCTTGGGTCTTGCCTTAGTTTTCCACCTCCCCATTCCCTTAATTACCCTTTGTATGGTTCTCAGTATATTTTGTGAGGGTCATGAGGACCTGGTCACATGGGGTATGTGAGACAATCTTGAAAGGATAGTTCCCTTCAGAGGCTATAATGAACTGTGACTGGGAGAGTTTTGGCATATGAGTTCCCATTTTTTTTAGATGTCTCTTTTGATAAGGGTCCTGTCCTGTGATCTATGGACTCTATTTGATGTACATGTGATGTCCCTGTAAGTTACCACCCTTCATTGTCCTTCCCGCCACCCCTACCTGCCCAGGGCTAACTACCTACCATTCCCCCCCTGAAGGACTTGGGTCCTTAAATTTATTTTTAGGGTAACTGGGCATTGACTCATTCTGGCTGCTTCTGGCTGAGAGAAGGAAATATTAGGGGGAAGGTGATCTGAAGCCCTTGCTGTCAGGTGGGGCATAGGCAGTTAAGGGTGTTTAGCCTCAGAGTGAGAGGTAGGTCTGTGGCAAGTATCAGGAAGAAGAGATCCTATCTAAGGCTCCCCAGTGTTAACTGGCAGGCAACTTGACAAGGAGGTGTACACGGGGCAGGGATCATGGGTTTCAAAGGTTTGGTTCATGATTGGCTAGCTCCATTGCTCTTGTTTGAGGTGAGGCAGAACATCATGGCAGAGTGTGGTGGAGAGAAGGGTGTGGCAACCAGGAAGAAGAGAGTTGGTTTTTTTTTTAACATCATCCTTTGTCAATTTTGTGTATAATATTAATAATATATACAATCTATGTAATCAATTAATATAAGAATTAATTTATGATATGTGAATATGCATATCTAGGGGTACATGTTAAAAAATTTGCTCATCATTGGGGTACATGATCAAAGGAACTTAGTAATGGTTACAACTGTGAACAAGAAGTGGGAAAACCCAAAGGGTTTCAGGGTAACAATATCAGATTGGCAGATAGGGTGAGTTTTCTAGGATCAGATAGAAGATAAATTAAAGAAAAATCAGGTCTAAAATAAAAGAGGTTAGTTGAACCAGAGGTGGTGGTTCATCACTACTTCCAGCAACTCAGGAGGTTGAAGCAAGGAACACTCAAGCTCGAGGCCAGCCTGAACAACTTAGTGAGATCCTGTGTCAAAATAAAAAGAGCTGGGGATGTAGCTCAGTGGTAGAAGACTTGTCTAGTTTGTGTGAGACCCTGGGTTCAATTCCCAGGACCACAAAAAACAAAAATAATCCCCAACCCCCCAAATCCCCACAATACCCCTAGATTCTAGTTTTCTTCCCTACTTCTGTTGTTTTGCATGGTCACACCTGTCTATAGATACCACTGGTCCAAAGGCTGTGCATCATTTGTCCTCTGCCTACATGTCCAACTTCATCCCTCACCACTTCACCCCACACACCATATGTTTCAGCCATGAAAAATTATTTGTAGTTCCTTCAGCAAACTAAATTTTCACTTGAATTCTTGAAATAAAAAGAAACATCTCTGCATCTATGCAATTGCTCTTTCCTCTTTCTTGAATGTCCTTATTATCCTTTGCAGCTTGTGAGTACACATCATTCAGATCAAGTGTCCTTACTTCTCTCTAGTTGATTACTTCCACCTTCATGTGCTTATTTCTATTATCCCTAGATTATAATCAATTGTATATTTGCTTTTCTATCCTATAAGATGCCACATTATTTAGCTCCTTGAGGACACTTAAATATTACCAAATGGCAGCCAAATAGTTTTGCCTTACATGTTAAGCTAACTCCTAAACTGACCCAATAAACTCTACCCAAGTTTACCATCTATTATCACCAACTACTAGATTTGTAATGTTGATAAGGGCTGTCACACTGGTAACATGTACAATCTGCATTAAATGATCATCCAAACAAGTGAGACTTTCTTTTTTTGGTGGGTTCTCTTTTGGAACTGGGGGTTGAACCCAGGACTTTACGAATACAAGGTAGACGCTTTGCCACTGAGCTACATCCCAGCCCAAGTGAGACTCTTAATAGAAGAACTCTGGTCTGGATCACCTCTTCAATGGGATGACTTCTATTTACACAAATTTAGCCATTATCGTCACTGGGAATTGTTCCAACTATAAGACCTCAAACTGAAATTCCTTCTTGGGCCACAAGTTCTGGAATTCCTTGTTGAAATTCCTCTTCTACCTTGACATTGAAAGTGTTCTGGTGGTCTGGTCAGGCCTCTTCTGTTCATGGCCCATCATGTCAATGATGCTCTTATTGGCATCCATGACTACTGTGTCCTGGAGGTCCATCATTTATACTCTTCTCATCTCCCAACTCTATGTTAACTAAGGCATATTGTTTTTATTTCTAGTTTTGAGCCTAGACCTGAAAATTCAAACTATCTTTCCTTACATGGATTCTCTCCAAATTTACTTCAGTCCTGCAAGTCAACTTTTACCTATTTTATCAACTAGCTTTTCCTCTCTCAGGGAAACAAACATCTCTGAATCCTCTCCATATGACTTAATTGGATACCATTTCTTTCCATCTTCTTTAAGATCTTGATCAATTCCTTTAACATCTTCAATTTAACCTTCTCCCTTGACCTTGAGCCTGGTCTATCTCAGATTACATTTTCATTTCTTTCCATTTACCAAAGAACAGTTAGTTCACATCCTCTTTATCTCTTAATTTTCCCTTCAGCAATATAATCTGGATGTTCTCTTTACAAACAGCCCTTTCCCATCACCAATTACCTATTCACTGTCAAATACAGTGGGATCTCCCCATTCTGATCAATTTCTTTGAGAAACTTCTATTAGTGATTTCTACTTCTCTTTTTTTAAACTTTCTTTTCTCTGGGTTTGTCATTAGGTCTTGGTCCTGTTTCTTAGACCCTGCTGGTCCTGTTTATCCAAAGGTTTTGTTTTCCAGAGCCAAGCCTTACACATGATTATATAGTAATAGGTTGGCCTTCGCTGCCTCTCCCCAATGCTCTCATGATCGTGTTCACTGTGATGGTGACCTCCTAACTCTTTCATGTGTGCACTCTGTTAGTCACATTTCTGACATGTTCAGGTAATTTTACACTGAGTATCAGATCACAATGACTCTTCTTATGTGATACAACTGGTCCCTCTTGGCCATTTAACATTTTTAAAATATTTATTTAGTTGTAGATGAACACACAGTATCTTTATTTATTTTTATGTGGTGCTGAGGATCAAACCTAGTACTTCACACATGCAAGGCAAGTGCTTGACCACTGAGCTACAGCCCAGCCCGGCCACTTAACTTTTCAAAAACCAGCTAATACTGGAATCCATTAAAAACATACACAAACACTTTAACTTAAAATATAACCCTAGTTTTATTCACTAATTCTTTGCGCATAGGTCTATAGATTGGAAATTCTTGCATAAGCCGTCCACTTGGATGAAAATTTTGGTATTTGTTAAAACAGAGCAGAAATTTAGGATATATCACACAATCTGTGTGCAGTGTCTTTTGATATTTTTAAAATTATTTTCCCCCAAATATTTTCTAATTCTTGGCTATGCCTTTTGAAACAAATTAAAGAACTGTTTACCTATTAAGTTTTCCAAAGCAGCCAACTTCATTTTATTATAGCTCTTCATAGCACTGAAGTTTCATTGTTTTATATAATAGTCAATTAAACTGCATATTACAATAACAACTAGCATGAATAACTCTGTTAGCCAACATCACTCACACTGGGTTAGCATTCAAATGAATTAGTAGAGATGAGTATCCGGGAATACAGGCCAGTAGCCTGCCAGGCACAAGCACTCAGCCCATTGCAGGTCCCAGGTGGTATGTCATACAGAGAAAATGGAGAATGATAGTTAATTTGGCAAGGTATCTATGTGAAGGCAAAAAGAGCAAATGTACAGAATAAGAATAATACCCAGTCCTAGATCTCCTTACCTCTGCACCTCCCAGTGGCATAATATTTCTAGACTTCTACTTTGAAAATGTTAAGAAAAATTTTAAAGTTTATACATCAAATTACAATCTATTTTAAAAATTGCAGTGGGAAAATGATTAATAATTCCTGAATGAAAGACATGTCTACTCATGGCCAATTTCCAGTGTCTTTAGGGCTATGAAAAACTTCTTCATTTATGCTTACAATGATAGGATTCCTTCCCCAGTGGAAACAAAATTAGGACTTTTAAGATTCTACTCTCCTAGGAAAAAGAGAAGTGGGGGCAGGATCTCATGAAAATCCAAGGGAGATCAGTTGAAAGGAAAGGGATCAATGAGTGGTAGGGAGGGAAGTGCTGGGAAGTAACATTGACCAAATTATATTGTTATAGAGTGGGCATGTACAAATATGTAACAATAAATCCCATCATTATGTACAACTATAATGTCCCAATAAAAAATGCAGAAGAAAAATAAGATTCTGTTCTCCTTTTTCTATGGTCTAATATTCAAGTGATTGTCACTTAACAGTTCAAAGGAATGTGATATTTGAGGAACAGAGAAAACTTTCCTAAAACAACTGATTTTAATAATACTGTAAAGATCTGCCTTAAGTAGAACTGAAAGGTTGAATATACTCAATTCACCACAATGAAGTACAGAAGTGGGTCCAAAAGTTGGTGAACAATACTCATCTGTATTACTAACTTTCAGGGTTTTTAGTTTTGTGATTTGGTCCCCAAAAGTTTCCCAACTTAGAAAAGGCCTTCTAAATAAAAGTCAAAGAAAGCAAATGGAGGAAGTAACATCTGTTGTTTTCCTGAAACCTAAGAAGGAAAAACAAAGGCAACATTCAAAAAATAAGAAATTATAACAATATGTTTAAATGAATTTTTAAACCTTTTTTTCCCTCTACAAATACTTTGGAAGTACAATTTCTCGCTATTAGCTTACTCATGCTTTTGAAATATTAGCAAAACACTCAAGAAGAAATTATTATTGTTGTTGTTTTAGACAGGGTCTTGCCACATTGCCAAGGTTGGTCTTAAACTTCTGGGTTCAAGTGGTCCTCCTGCCTCAGCCTCCAAGCAACTGGGATTAGGAGTGTGCAGCCCTTACTTGGCACATGTTACCACATGTACTAGCTGTAATTAAAAGAGAATATCAAACCATTTGTGCACAGCAAAAAAGCAAATGATTTTTTAATGACATTAAAAGTAAAAATGTAGATATGATGTAATCCTTAATGTAGGGTTTGCTCAAATTTGAGAGCTGAAATTAGTATGTGGGTGGATCTGATGCACTGTTAAATGTTGTACATAATTAGGGATGTGCATATAAACAAGATATTTCAGCCTAAATTGAATTATTCTATTAAGTAACATGCAATACTACCTAATCTTTTGTAAACTGCTGGTCTCTTTTGTGAATATCTTCATACTAAAAAAAGAATGTTTCAGCTCTGAAATGCAAGTAAAACTGACATTTTACATAATGTGTGTCCCTGCCTGTCTTTTAATATTAACTTGATTTTTTCTATCCCTTAACATTATGTAAGAAGATGCTAGTCAACCAAAAGAAAAAGAGGAAAAGGAGAAATTTATGAGGATTTCAAATCTTAAAATAATGTCCATGAGTGGTGGCTCATGAATTGAATAAGCACCAAGATAACCATGATAATACATTTTATCACATGATTGTCTAATATTACTTTCAACAAACTGGCCACAAGCTTAATCATTTACTACAGCTGCAGTGGTTTTGTGGGTCAAAACAAGTGTGTTCAACAATAGCCATCATAGAATAAGTCTTTATACCTTTTACCTTGGGGCTTAGTCATTTTTCTAAAACATCTCAACAGATTAGACACATTGATAATTCAACTATAAATGATATGCTGGAAAATCTTTAATCATTTGGCAAATCTAAAGGTCAATGCTAGTTTATGTGAAATATAATAAGCATGAAATCAATCTGAAGTGATTTTAAAAGTAATTCAAGGTCTTCCATGTTCCTGAAATGAACATCTCTGAGAACAGTGATTTCTATTATTTAATTGATAATGAATAATTGAAAAACAGAAACTGGAAAGGCCCAGAGCCGCTGGAGAGTTTGTAGTTTTCTGTGCTTCATTAGGGTTTCTCTATGACCAGTAAGGGTCAAAATGACCAAGAATTATTGTCTAGCATCCTTCCTTCAAAAGCTCCTTAAAATCAAAAGATATTGCTAGGCTGCTTTCTGAATCTCAGAATCGGAGTTTCTAATTGTACAGTTAGAGAAGCTGAGCCTGAGAAGGAAAGAGACTCATCAAAGTCATGAGATAGTGTCATTTCAGGACCCAACCCTGAAAGCCTCTTTAAGCGATTTCGGGGGCCACTGCAGGGCACACATCCTGGTCTTCATCACTATCCCTTCTCCATAATACCCAGATTTTGCACAACAGAAACCAGTATCTTCTGCAACTATGATTCTCAACAACCTCAAAGCTGGCAACATGTCTTCCTAATACTGTTTATAACAGTCACAGCAGAAACTCTCACTATCAAGACCACTTGTGATTAAATAAAACCTATGAAAACAGGATTAAGCAAACTTCTTTTTGATGAAAACTGATTTAAAGGGAATGAGTTCTTTTCATCATCATCAAGAAAGAACATCTGACATCAATTAATTCTCAACTATTCTTAAAGCAAAGAATTAAACACAAAATTACCTTTGAAGGTTTCAAGCTCCTTCCTGTAGGAAAAAAAAACCAAAAAAATGCAAATTTAAAATGATGTATTCCCAGTGGAAATTTCTCTTAACAGTATAATAAAAATTTATGTACTTTAAATACCCAGTTCTGGATTGCTCACACATCTATTGTGCTTTACTAAAATTACCAATACCATTGGCCTAAAGCAACTATTTTCAGTTATTTCTGTTATTACCTATTAATGGCTCAAAAATTCTACCAAAATTCACACTGTTAAAACACTGAAACATATTATAAGAATGAAGAACATTGTAATGTCAGCTATGAACCATCTTACATATACAAGAATCAATTTATACAAGCACTTAATACAATTTTGCTTTCACTTATAAATACTTTTAAGGTCTTTAATTTAAGATTATCCTTTATTCTCTTTTTTAATAGCAAAGGAGAAGCACATATCAAAGGATTGAAGCCCATGGCTCTTCCTGTCACAAAAGGGCCAAACCTCCGGGAATCTTTTGGTTTGTTTTTGTCAATGTCAATTAAGGATGCTGAAATATAACATCTCCTGAGGAAATACAGAGCAGAGGAAAATGTATGATGGATCATAAAATAAACATCCTGTGACAAGCCAAAGCAAGTTGTTTTCAGGTTTTCCCTTATAACTTTGTAATTATGTATTTTCCTCTGTACCAGTACTAATATAGGTAAGTTTCTTTAGTAAAGACTTATTATTCTGGGGCTGGGGTTGTGGCTCAGTGGTAGAGTGTTTGCCTAGCATGTTCAAGGACCTGGTTTCTGATCCTCAGCACCACATACAAATAAATAAAATAAAGGTATTGTATACAACTGCAACTAAAAAATAAATTTTTTTAAAAGACTTGTTATTCCAAAGCATAAGACATTTATCATTTATTTGCACTCTAAGTTTTACAAGAAATATAGATGTTTTGAATTCTCAAATCAGAATTCAACAATCTTGTTTACAATACCCCTCATGTTCCAAAGAGTTTGCTACAAGTAACAGCTGTCAGGCAGGACTGGCAAGCTGCCCACCTAAAGGCCAGGCAGACACTGTTCCTGCAACAGTTGAAGTGAATGTTCTTAAATCAGATGGTCACCCCACTCTTCTTTTTCTAAAAATGCCCACTTTGTAAAATACTTCATCACCAGAATTCATAAACTATGCCACAGAATATAATTTTCACTCCTATCTTTTCAAAAAACTGAGCATTTTTCCCTTCAGCCAATGGTTAACTTTATTCTTAACTTCCTTCCCCCCACACCTTCTCCTTTGGTTTTTCAGTACCAGGCAATGAACCCAGCCTGTTCTACCCTTGAGCTACATCCCCAGCATCCCCCGCCCTTTTTAAAAAATTTACTTTGAGACAGGGTCTTGGTAAGTTGCCCAGGCTAGACTTCAATTTGCCATCCTCCTGCCTCAGCCTCCTGAGTATCTGGGATTTCAGGTGTGTGTCACCATGACAGGCTCAACTTCATTCTTAAAAGCTTAGTTGGATACAAGTTAAAGGTGCCTAATACCTAACATAGCCTCAAGTCATGGGATGAAGGCCAAAATGCATCACAAGAGAATCCTGAAGATGCCTTCATAGAAGCAACTTCAAGGCCACTGATAACAGGGGTGGTGGGAGGTGAAAGAACATGCAATTCAATTTTCTAATTCTTTTTTCTTTGATTATAATCTTTACAATCTTTGATTACAATCTTCTGATTTGCTTCTTTTAGAATGTGATTATAAGGAAAATTTCTAAAAAGGCACTTCTAGTTAAAAAAACTCAGAATAGTAATTTCACACATACTGGTCTTTCCTTATCACCCACTCCCAAATACCAAAAATCATAAAAGGACACACCCAATCCACCACATGAATTAGTAATTACTCCACAGAGGCACTGCCTCTCCTGGGGAGCTAGCCTGCTTCCCCTCAACCTGCTACTGCCACCTCTGGTCAACAGGAAGCTGCTATGGGAAGAAGCAAAGCCTGGCCCAGATCTCTTTTATGCATGGCACTGTGCCCCACAACTCCACAACTGGTGGCGGAATCTCCAAGAAATTTCCTTTGAGAGAGTGAATCGTTACTGTACCCAATTCCTTAAAAAAAGTCTGGTTGAGGTAATGGTGGTACAGATAACAGGTATAAACAAAAATCCCTATGATGAGAATTTAAATGAACGATTAAAAGGAGGCAGCAGCACTAAAAGCATTGGCATTTCGGTGCACCCCACCATTTTTTTTTTTAGCAGTAACAAGCACTTTGAAATATGGAAGCTATAAGGGAAGGGAGGGAAAGGCACAGCCAGCAGTGAATTTGAAGGCATGGGACACCAAAAGGTGCAGGCTACATTTAGGAAATGCTTCAGAATAGTAGTAGCAGTATTTGAGCAAGGATTTGTCTGAGCGAAACTTCAGATCAGCAGACTGAATGAAGGAAAGACAGTTCCAATAAAAAGGTAGAGGGTTAGCCAGATGTGATGTGCACACCTGTAATCCCAGTGGCTCAGGAGCTGAGCTTGGGTGGGTCCCAAGTTCAAGGACAACTTCAGATACTAAGCAAGGCCATAAGCAACTTAGGGACACCTGACCCAAAATAATAAATGAATAAATAAATTTAAAAAGGGCTCAGTGGTAAAGTACTCTTGGGTTTCATCCCTAGTACAAAAAAAAAAAAAAATAGGGTAGAGGTTCTCATTGCCAGTCTATGAGATTTGGTTTTATTTTTAGTAGAATAACATGGGCAAAGACATGCTTTATAAAGCAAGAACATTCTAGCTGTGATGCATAGATGTACTGGCAAGGGAGAGAATAAAAGCAGGGAGCACTCAGAAAACTATCTGGATTTACAGAAAAGCTGATTCATGCCTGACAAGAGCAGCATAAGCAGCAATGGCAGAGAATGGGAGGGCTTGAGAACTGCAGAGGAGACACAAGAGCCATGGCCCTGGATGAAACAGAGGTAAGTAGAGGAAGGAGGTGGATGTGAGGGTTCTAGTCTGGATCACCAGGAAGACATTTCAGAGGGGAGTGCACACATCAGTTTGCGACATCTGCTGAAATCACCTGGAAGGCTGGAAGCCTAAGTCCAGCAATGCTGCATAGATACCCATCCCCTTTAGCCTACTCAAGGATTCTGCTCCTACAGATTCCTTTTTCCCCACTCTTGTTAAACAAAACTATGGGAGGGCACTATTTTGGTCTGAACTCCTGCACTAGGCCCCAAAAGACCAGATGGAACCAAAATGGAGTTACTCATGCTAAGTGCTACATAATTAAACAGAAGCTTTACGAATAAAGTTCCTAAACCAGACCAGTTTTTCCTGGAAATAGGAAATTCCATTGCTATAGATGGATATAGTTTAAGCGTGTCCCCCAAGGGTTCGTGTGGTAGAAGCTTGGTACCAGTCAGTATTTCAGTTTTTTTATTGCTGGGACCAAATACCAAATAAAAACAAATTAGAGGAGGAAAGTTTATTTGGGTTCACGGTTTCAGAAGTTCAGTTCATGGTCCCCGGACTTGGTCAGCTTTGGACCTGAGGTAAGGTAGAACACCATAGCAGACGAGCATGGTGGAGTTCAGTTCATGATAGCCAGGAAGGAGAAACAACTCTGCTCATCAGGGGCAAAATATGAACCCCAAAGGCACCTGACCAGTGACCTACTTCCTCAAGCCACACCCTATCTGCCCAAGTTACCACCCAGTTCATTCATTCAAGTGGATTAATCTACTGATTCGGTTACAGCTCTAATCAGCTTACAGCTCTCATCACATTCTTGCATTGTTTCACAAATGCTCTTTTGGGGGACACCACATATCCAAACCATAACATAATAAGGAAGCCTCATCTACGGTAATCCTTACAAAAACAGTAACTTGATATTAATTACTATGGTTTGAATATTGTTTTTCCCCCACCAAAATTCATGTTGAGCTTTATTCCTTAATGCAGCACTGCTGGGAAGTGGGGCTGGTGGGAGGTGTCTGGGGTCCTGTGGATGGAGCTCTCATGATTAGATTAATGCCACCTTGTAGGAGTAAGTTCCCACAGAACCAGATGAGTGACTGCAAGGGGACACTGTATGAAACAAGGCTGTTCCCGTCTTCTCTTAGCACACATTTCCTTGCACACACACTTTTCTCCCACACACGGAGCAGCAAGACACCTTCAGGGATCAGAAGCAGCCAAGCAGCTGAAGACTTCTCACCTCCAGAATTGTGAACTACATAAACTTCTTTATAAATTACCCTCTCCGGTATTTTGTTATATTAATAGAAAATGAACTGATATATTAACCAATCAGCTTTTTTACTTTTCTGCTACTGCCCAGTAGGAACTCTCATTCTGTTCTGTAGAAGGGAGCTGCCCCAATTCAATCCTGATGAGTGAATGTCAATTAGATCTACAACTAAATGTGGCCACTTTGTCTTTTGACAGTTCTGGTATCCATATGAAAGGACCTGAAGGAGATTTCTGTGACCCTGAGACCCCTCGAGAAGCACAGGGAAGGTGCCACTGACATCCTCTCGGGGTCCTCTGTCTTTTTTACCTAGATGTTGAAAGTTCCTTCCAGGTCTGAAACTCTGCTCTCTTTTCCTCTCTGAATTTGGGGGCACCAAAGGTTTGTGCTGTGAGAGGGCACCTGAAATTCTGGGTTTGTGGTGGCTAAGAAGCCAGTGACTGGAGCTGTAGTTCTAAAGGTAACTGGACAGCAGACACAATAACTGGTTATTGCTGCAGAGGATGTAAATTCAGGCCTTTGGAATTCGCTGGGATTTAAGGTTTCCTCCTCTTGGTTTCTCCTCTTCTTTGCTCTGAGGTAAGAGAAATCATTGGCCAAGTGGGACAAGGGATCTCAGCAACAGAAACACTGCTTGACTGACAGGCATAGGTCAGGGACTTAGAAGCTTTGAGAGTGGTCACCACCAAAAAATAAGCCTCCCATGAGAGCACGGGCTGGTCACTGCATGGGCTGGCTGAGGAAGGTCATGGTCACACTGAAGCAAGTCTGTGCAGCACAGGAC